GAAGTACTGAAACCCTGGAGCGCAGGCCTAGGAACAAGCCGACTCAAGGTTAGTCTCTGGTGAGGCTCTGCTTGCGCTCATGCAGAGGCAGGTAAGTCTGAGCTCGGCTCCCATTGCTGACAGGCAAACTGTCCTGCTGTCTTTCCACAGGCTTCCAGGAGCAGAGCCAGGGCTCAGAGCCTTCACATTCCTCTCTGGCCAGGCAGTCCATTTCTCAGATTGAGTCCTTAGAGTACCCCCAGCCCCAAGCCACAAAGATTTTTTCATCTGTATTTAGCTATTTCTGTGGCTTGAGTTTATTCTTATTTCTGGCCCTTGGAGATTCCTGTATTTGCTCATCTGTGTCTTAGGAATGCAGTTAAAAAGTATATTCATTGTAATTTATCTGGCATTTGGGTGTTTTATGGTAATGAACTCAGTCTGCCATTTATTTGGTACAGGGTCTCACTATGCAGCTCACACTCATAATGATCCTCCTGTCTCAGCCTCCCCAGCACTGGGATTACAGGTGTGCATCATTACACCTGGTTTCAGGGCCAGCACGGTGTGTCTGGGATCCGGGGTCTGGCACAGCATGTGGCACCTGGGATCGAACTGTGGTCCTTGTGCTTGCCAGGCAGGTGCTTAGACCGCCAAGCTATCTCCCCAGCCCTCAGTCTGCCATTTTCAGGGCAAACTGCCTTATATATACCAACGGAGCTCTTGTGCTAGGGCGACAGTTCCACAGCTGGGCCTGTCATTGCTCTTGGTAGAGTGGATGCAGCATGACTGAGAAAGGTGAGTGGTTGCACTAAATACATGGAAAGTCCCAGCTAAGTCCCCACATTGCCCTGGGGCACAAGGCCACTAGTCAGCCCTTCCCACCCACACCTGGTAATCAACTTTAAGACTAAATTCTGGGAGGCCTGGCACCTGGTGACACCAATAAGCCCCTGGGGTGGGGCTACTCTGGAAAGGTATTCAGGAGACAGGCGTGAGGATGGGGCCAGGGCTTGGGAATTGAAGCCCAGCTCACTGGCTAGTTAAACACTGATAGCCAGGACTCCACAGTACAGAGTCCCAACTGCACTAATCTCAGGGCCACAGGAAGTGTCTACCCACAGGCTGCTGGGGCACTGCACGATGCTGGCTTCCAGTGAAAGTGAGCTGTCAAGAATGCAAGAAATGGGCTGGAGAGATGGCTCAGTGGTCTAAAGCACCTACTTGAAACAAGCTTGGCAAAGCACAGGGACCGCGGTTCGATCCCCCAGCACCACATGCCAGCCGACCCCCCCCCCGGTGGGCTGAGCTGGCCACACACACAATAAATAAATGTAATAAATAAAAATAAATAAATAATTAAAAAAAAGAATGCAAGAAATGCTCACTTCAGTAAGTCATACATGGAAGAAATGAAAGCAGTTGCCTGCAAAAGGGGAGGAAGTATGAAGAAAATTATCTCCAAAGATGCAACCATTTAGCAAATAAATGTAAAGGCAACAGTTAAATTAGGATTTAACATTAGTGCAAAAAGGGCATAAACAAAAACAAGTATGTTACCAAATGTTAACACTTCATCAGGAAGCTGGGATGGTGGCACACACCTATTATTCCAGCACTGGGAAAGCTGAGGCAGGATCGCTGAGAGTTTGGGGACAGCCTGGGCTACATCGTGAGTTCAAGGCCAGCACTACATGGCAAGAGCCTGTCTAAAAAAAAAAAAAATCAGAACCAAAACCAAGAACCCCACACAAAAGATCACTGAATACAGTAGCCCATCTACTCAGGAGGATGAGAGAGGAGGACTGCAGGTTCCAGCCTAGCCTGGGTAATTTAGCAAGAACTTTGTCTCAAAATAAAAAGGGTTAGGGGTACTCAGTGGAAGGACACTTGTCTTGTTCAAGGGCCTGGGTCCCTTCCATAGCTCCCTACCAACAATCACTTGATAACAGAGAACTAGAAACCTGGAGCATCTAAAATGTCATGCCAAGTTGGCACGTGACAGCCAGGTTGGCCACCCCTCTGCCACCTGTGTCTGTGGGCCCTATAGGGCCCCAGGCAGGAGCCCCTTCCTAGGAAGCCCACCTCCTGCTTTCTGCCTTTAGCCCCCCGAAGTTCTTTTGGCCACAGACACTCGGGACCCAGTGGGAAGGGTCACGTGGGCCTGCAGACAAGGTACTCACAGTGCACACAGCACCTTCCCTCCCTCCCTCCCTCCCTCCCAGGCCCAGGCCAGCCTGAGTCAGAAAAGGAATATAGCTTTTTATTGACTACTATAAGTAGAACAAACTAAATACATATTTAATGGTTTTGGTTCATTTATACAGTACATTAAATAAGTTATACAGAGTTAAGTAACAAAAGTTCCTATCAGAGTAAAATGATAAAGCACAGAAAAACCAGACTTTAATGCATTCTGTGGGTGGTTTGACATTCATCATTCCCCTTTGAAAACCATGAGTGGAGGCTCAGTCTTCTTTTCATGGACAAGACTGGCTTTTTTTTTTTTTTTTTGGTAGTGGGGATCAGACTCGGGACCTTGCGCTTGCCAGGCAGGCACTTATTCCACTGAGCTATTTCCCAGCTACTATTGACTTTCTTTTACAGATGAAGCCCTTGTGGATTCACAGGAACTTCTGAAAGCCATCTAAGCCACCGAAGGCCTCTTAACCAAACAGGCCTTTCAACCATTCACCAAACACTTATTGCTGTTGCTTCCCTCTGCTGACTCCAAAGCAGAGACAGGGTTGCCCCAAGATACCAGCCACAATGCCCTATTTGGTATAAGCATCAATGTGTCCACACTGGGCAGCTAGAAGACTCATCAGATGGGGTCTGCATGAGAAGTGTCATTTTGGAGCTTTGGGGAGTGGGTAGGCAAGTTCTCAAGTCTGGCTTTCAGGCCTGCTAACCTTCTCAAACCTCATGATGGGAAACATCACCTGCTCCATGTCTTTGGAAGTGAGCATGTCAATGCCCAGGGGCAAGAGGCAGGTAGCCAATGTTTTGGTTTCACAAGAACTACACTCAAGAGTCGGAAGGGACCTGCTGAGCAGCTGGCCAAGTACCCAGCCTGGCCTGGGCAGGGCTCTTCTCTGACAGCTGGCCATCTGGCCTATGCTGGGACCACACAGGTCCTTGAGGCTTTTCTAACATTTGGTTCAAACATGCTACCACTCAGTTCTCTGCAGAGCTAAAAACCATTTAAGAAATTGGTTTAGTCTCCTGATCAGGAAGCCTGGACATTAGGTTCTAGTCCAGCTCTGAAGAAAGTTTCCAAGTTGTGTCCTATTTGGAATGATTTCTTTAATCCTCATCCCTTCTAGTTTTGAGGACAAAAGGCCATTTGGTGGTTCTTTATGCTGTCTGGAGAATTCACTACAATTTGAATTGTTGCTGAATCTTCTAACACATTTGCTGAGATACATTCCAGAATACCTACAGCCTTTATGAGTAGGTGACAAGGCTGGGGGTCACTTTGACTTTGGGACAGGACTGTACAAAGCAAAACACTTCATTGGTGATGAGCTCTTGGTGGACCAATGGGCCCACAGGAGCCCACACTGTAGAGGCTAGCAGCCAATGTCAGGTGTACACCAGTGGTTGGCAAGTGTATCTTTTCCAGGTACAGACCCACTGGCCTGAGACACAGGACTCCACAGTGCCCTAGGAAAGGCCTAGCCAGCCCATGCTTACCTGACTGCCTGAGATCTGCTGGGGCTACTGCTTTGAAGCTGCAGGGAACTTCAAAGGTGGACTGCCTGTTCCCAAGGAGGCCTGGAACTTCTTTCATGATGCATGAGGCATGTGCAGGAAAGTGGGCCAAAGCACAAATGCAGATAGAATATTCTACCTTTAAGTATACCTCAGGACATTTATTTTTGGGGACAGGGTCTCCCTATGTGCCTTAGGCTGGCCTAAATCTCACTAAGAAACCTAGACTAGCCTCAAAATTGCTGTGACCCTCCCACCTCAGCCTCCCAATGCTGGGATCCTAGGTGCATGCCTCCAAGCCGAGCTCCTTGGGATATTTGCAGATGGTTCCCCCTTTGGTGTTCTCCAGTTCCTATAGTCAGTCCTTACTTAGAAGATGGTAAGGTCCCCACATTCATGTTCTTCAGGGGGGCTGCTGAGCCCTGGCCTCATGCTCCAAATGTGCTCTTGCTTTGGGTTTCTAGGATATCACATAACCAGTGACTGACTCGCCAGCCTTTGCTGCTGCCTGAACACCTCTAGGTAACACGGGCTCTGAGCATCCCAATTATTCTAATGCTTTTGCTTTAAAATCCTAGTTCCTGCTTCTCCAGCTGCCCACTTCACCCCAGGTGCTGCTCTTCTTTCTGGTTGGCGTGTTGTAGAATTCTGGAACCAAGCTGGAGAAAGGAATTCCTTAAGGGAATTCTTTTTTTTTTTTTTTTTTTTTTGGCAGAACCGGGGATTGAACTCAGGCCCTTAGGCTTGCCAGGGAAGCGCTTATTCCACTGAGCCATCTCCCTGGCACCCCTTTAAGGGAATTCTAAAGTGAGAGCTCTGCACAGATGCCCACGTGACACGTGACCTGACCAGGAGCACAGCACAGGGCTGAGCTCAGCTGTGTGGATGCTGCCAGGCTTGCGGGACGGCACACACACAGAGCAGGCTAGACAGCTTCTTAGTGACTTTCAAACAAAAACTAGCTCACAAAAGTAGGGCAGGCCCTGACCCCTAAATCTTAGCTGTAGAAATTGGCCTTGGTCCCTGGTATTATTTTGTTGGTTTTGGCCTTTATTCCAACTAGTCAAAAACCTGAGCTACCCTGACTGATCTTGGGGCCAGTGAAGATTTAGAAAACTTGTAAGGTGTTCAACTTACCGATGAATAAACAGCAAGCCAGGGACACATCCAGGGTACCCCATAAGACACCTTGTTCTAACTAACTTATAAGGATTTTTTTTTTTTTTTGCTCCAAAATGCCTTCGGGGAGGTTTGGCTGACTTGAGTTGTGGGGATCGAACCACAGCAACCTGAGCCTAACTTCTTTGTTTTTTTGGCGGAACTGGGGATTGAACTCAGGCCCTTGTGCCTACTGAGCCATCTCCCTGGCCCCCAAGAGCTTTTACTTCAGGCTCAGTGCGTGCACTGAGGGTGGTGATCTGATCCTGGCTTTCACAGGGCAGCAGGCACAGAGCCACTAACTCACACCACTACCTCCATGGAGCAGGACCCTAAGTTGCCTAAATGGTAGGGACATATATGAGACAGTACCCAACATTCTGCAGGGGGTACACTGAAGTCATGTTTGGACAGCCAAGTAAGCAGCTGGAAAAATCCCTGGAAATGGGAAGAAAAATTTGTTAGCTTCCTGCAAATGTTTCCTACACTTCAAAGAACTTTTCTGAGCTCAGAGGGGAGGTTTCAAACAACATTAGAGAAGGGAAACTGCTGGATGATGAATCAGTATAGAAGGCCATGAGGGATTCCTCTAGGTCCAGGAGAGCTATTCAGGTGAGACCAGGCCTTGACAAGTAGGGCAAGTCCTGCTGACACTCCACAGAGCATCAGTGGGACAACTGTAGTCTACAGGGGCCAAACAGGGCTGATGGGCAGAAGATGTCATGGTGATCCAGACATGTGTGGTCTGAGATAAAAGGACACAAAACAAGACAACTGGGCAAACAACCAAACAGTGGCAGAGGATTCTGCATTTCTAAGAGGTAATCCACTCAGTAACTGGATAAATGCTAGTTTGGCCAACATGCTCAGAGAGAAAAGACTAACATTGGAGTCTTTTTCTCTCTTGGATCAATTCATGTGTTGGAAACTAATTTCTGCACAAGCAAAATCAAGTGTGGGAGGGGACAAAATGGGTTCCAAACTAAAGTAGTCAGTTAGGTTGGAAAAATCTTGTCCAAAGCGATCTATGATGCATGGGGGAAGATTTACTTCTTTTTATTATTATGGTGCTTTTATTAAGGTGGTGGTGTCTTTTCTGTTGTTTTTGAGCTTCTCAATGAGTCAGAACAGTATGGTTGAGGAGGGAGTCCTGAGTACTGGTTTCTGCCTACCCAAGTCCCGAAGAGGCCAATCAGCATCACTTGCTGAGAGTGGAAATGGGGCTCAAGGAACAGTTCAGGGGGAAGGGGACCTCCTCCTCAGTCTGCTGCCAGCCTCCAGTCTTGCACTGCATGAGGACCGTAGGAAGGTGAGCTGCTGCCAGCCTGGCTGGGCACAGAGTCTGCTAATGCACAGAGGCAGGGGAGCTGGTGGACTACACAGGAAAGGGTGATTTCAGAGGGAGAAGAGCACACCAGAAACCCATAGAGAAGCTCAGGCAGGCTGCCTGTGTGCAGAGAATGTCACACTAGTTCCACCAAGACACAGATAATAAGTCCCAGGGCAGTTGGGGGGCATTGCTTGGATGCTTCCTGTCGTCACTGCATTTCCTGCTGATGACCCTATAGCTACATGTTCTAACAGCCAACCCCCATGCAATCATCCTTTGTGTGGAATGATCATCAGGGTCAGTGTAGTCTGGGGCTCAGAGTCCATTGGTGTCAATTGCTGTCACAGAGGCAGGTGTTGAGGAACGTGAGGTGGTGGCTGAGGTCTTGTCCAGGGCTGGGCTGGGCACACTGCAGTCAGTGGACCTGGCTGAGCTCCTCCCTCCAGGCAGCAGTGGTCGGCTCTGGCTGTGGGGACTCTGGCCATGAAGGCTCTGGCCACAAAGGCGATGGTGCCGTTCCCAGTCCTTGTGTTGGCAAAAAGAACCGCAGTACCGGGCTATATTGCAGCCACTGCATGTTTCGCTAGCTTTGCGGCCACAGTTCCAGCAATTCTGCAACACGAGAGGCATAGGTTAATGGTTGCTGGGATCAAGCTGTAAGTTCCTCATTCATCACCTCTGTGTGTGTGTATGTGTGTGTGTGTGTGTGTGTGTGTGTGTGTGTGTGTGTGTGTGTAGCTGGGGATGCTGCTCAGTGCTAGAATACCTAGGTGTGGAAAAAACAAAACAAAACTGGGTCTGAGCATGCATTAAACTGCTGGTACTTTCACTTTAGCTGGCTGCCATCATCATCATCATCATCATCATCATCATCATCATCATCATCATCATTATTATTATTATTTTTAGTCTTTTTGACACAGGGTCTCATTATGCAGTTCAGGCTGTCCATGAACTCACTTTGTAGCCCAGGCTTGTCTTGAACTTGCAACAAACCTCCTGCATCAGCTTCCAGAATACTGGGATTACAGGTGTGCACCACCATGCCTAGCTTCTGCCATTATTTTTAAAATGGCTCATTTCAAAAGTTATGAAATGTAAAATAAACAACTTCCACAGAGGCAGGCTCATAGAAAGGCAAGAATAGGGGCTGGTGAGATGGCTCAGTGGTCTAAAGCACCTACTTAGAACAAGCTTAGCAAAGCACAGGGACCTCGTTCAATCCCCCAGCACCACATGCCAGCCAGCCCCGCCCCCTGGTGGGCTGAGCTGGCCCCACACACACACAAATAAATAAAAATAAAAATAATTAAAAAAAGAAAGGCAAGAATATTGTGGTTTCTGTCAGAGAAGCCAGTGGTATAAAGGACAGTTTCTTTTTCTTTCTTTTGCAGAACGGGGGACTGAACTCAGACCCTTGTGCTTGCCAGGCAAGCACTTATTCTACTAAAGCCATCTCCCCAGTTCCAACAAATTTACCATCTTTTTTTTTTTTTTTTTTTTTTTTTTTGCGGAACCAAGGATTGAACTCAGGACCTTGTGCTTGTCAGGCGAGCTCTTATTCTACTAAGCTATTCCTCCAGTCCCTAAAGGACAGTTTCATGTTTTCTTCTTGGTTTTCCCCTGACAATTAGGAGAGATTATTTTTTGCCAAGATATAATACAAAGTAGGATGCAGTCCCAGATACTCAGAGGTTTGGGCAGGATGATCACTTGAGTCCAGGTCTTCAGGAACAAGCTGGAAAACACTGTAAAGGCTAGCCTTCATTAAAGTATAAGAGGGCTGTAGAGATAGCTCAGTGGGATGAACTCTTGCTTGGTAAGCAAAGGTCCCAAATTCAATCCCTGGTACAAAAAAAAAAAGAAGAAGAAGA